CCAAAAGGATACATTCACAAGGAACGGTAGAAGCTCTAAGATTGATTTGACATTTATCAGCGATCCACTAGCTAAGTCAACTGAGTGGCAAGTGTCAGATATCTACACACATAGTGACCACCAAGCTATCATATTCGAAATACATGACCGCGCAGCAAGAACCATTCCTGCGGTAGCCACTCTAAATCCGCTATGGAAGGAGTTAACTTTGGACAAAGAAGCTTTTAAGCTCTCAATGGACGACATCCACCTAACTGGCAGTGCGAATGATAAAGCAATACAACTGATGCGCTGCATAACAAATTCATGTAACGCATCTATGGCAAAGAAAGGCCGGCGGAATGGCAGACAACATGTGTATTGGTGGACTGACCAAATTTCCGAACTATATCAAAGAGCAAGGTGTCGCGAAAATTTTATAGCGCACCAAGAAGCCTATAAAACATCGAAAACTGACCTAAAAAAGGCGATATGGAACAGCAAGGCAAGATGCTTCAAGGAAATGTGTGAAGAGGTCGAGATTAACCCCTGGGGACTAGGATATAAAGTGGTTATGAAAAAATTATATAGCTACCGTCCACTAGTTACCACAAACGCAGCTAAGCTACAAGCAATAGTTGAAGGTCTCTTCCCGCAGAGAACTGATATAACCTATACAGTACAAGATAGTGAGCCACAGAATGAAATATCTGAGGTTAGCAGGCAAGAATTGGAAGTGGTATGCAAAGGTTTGAAACTAACCAAAGCACCTGGAGTAGATGGAATACCAAATCTGGCACTAAAGATAGCCACAGAAATCAACGCTGATTCATTCAGGGAAGTGTTCAATGCATGTATAAAGGAGAGAACATTCCCCCAGATATGGAAAATACAAAGGTTGGTGCTTATACCAAAGGGCAATAACGTACAAGATGCATCAGGCTACCGCCCGCTATGTATGATTGATACGGCCGGTAAACTTTTGGAAAAGATAATTAGCCGAAGACTAGAAGAAGCCTTGAATGGCAATGGTTTATCAGATAGACAATTTGGTTTTCGGAAGGCACGCTCCACAATAGAGGCCGTGGAAGCAGTCATAGCCATAGCAAAAGATGCCATTAAAGGAGACCGTTGGCTCGAAGGAGACAAAGAATACTGTGTCATCATTACATTAGACGTTAAAAACGCATTTAACTCAGCGGACTGGGACACTGTTCTAGCAGCACTTCAAGGGAAAGACGTTCCAAAGTACCTAGTAGAATTAATCGTTGACTATTTTAAAGAGAGAGTGCTTTTGTATTACACAGACAGAGGCACAAAGTCATACCAAGTAACAGCAGGGGTACCACAGGGCTCGGTACTGGGTCCAATATTGTGGAACATTATGTATGACGGAGTGCTGAGACTTGAGCTCCCAGAAGGCGCAGAAATAATTGGACTTACTGATGACATCGCGCTGGTGGTTAAAGGGAAACATATAGAAAAGATACAATCAACATGCAACGAAGCGGTCGCTATGGTAAGGAGCTGGATCACAAGTGTAGGCCTCAAACTTGCTGATCATAAAACTGAAGTCCTTCTTGTAAGCAGCAGGAAAAAGATTGAGTACATTACAATAACTGTTGGCAATGAGCGAGTCACATCAAAACAAGCAATCAAGTATCTTAGAGTAATGATTGACAATAGACTCACCTTCAAAGAGCATTTACGATATGTTGCTGCAAAATGTGCGAAAACAACGTGTGCACTATCGCGAATAATGCCCAATATAGGTGGATCTAGACAACAGAAGAAGCAGTTACTCACAAATGTAGTTAAGTTTATTGCTATATATGCGGCTCCCATATGGGCAGATGCAATGAATAAAAAGACGTACAGATCAGGAGTAGACGCAGCCTACAGAAGATGCGCTCTCAGAGTTGTTTCCGCATTCCATACAGTATCTACTGACGCGGCCATGGTTATTGCCGGAATGATGCCACTACAGCAGGAAGCAGAAATTGAAAAGGAAAAGCATGCGGCAAAAAGAATTGGGGTTACAAACTTCAATCAGCTCAATGAAGAAGCATTGAATAAGTGGCAACAGAGTTGGGATATATCCACAAAAGGAAGATGGACGCATAGGCTCATTCCGAAGATAAGTGATTGGACCAACAGAAAGCATGGGCAGGTGAAATACTACCTAACCCAGATGTTAACTGGACACGGCTGCTTCAGAGCATATCTTTTTAAGTTCAAACATGATGAAGACGACACGTGCCCAGCATGTCCATATACAAAAGAACATGTGTTCTTTGATTGCCCGAGATATGAGAGCCACCGCAGCTCCTTGGCAAGAGCAACCAGAGAGCAGGTCACACCTGATAACATCATCCAACTGATATTAAAGTCAACAGAAATCTGGAACCTGGTGTGTATTTTTGCGAAAGAAATCACAGAAGAACAGAGAGCAGCAGAGAGAACTAGAAGAGCAGTAAGAGATGACAGCAACCGCTGAATCACCACCCTCCGAAGTAATGCTTAAAGGTGGTTCCGGAGGGATTTATGGTTAGAAGAGACACGGTGTTAGGATGAGGATTAGTACGTAGGCGCAAATATCAAGCAAAAGAGTAAGTGTTGGTTGCGAATCGTGCATGCTGGTAGTACGGGCTACCAGTATCTTTTGAAGATTCCACATCCCTTAGCTCGTATAGCTTAAAAAAAAAAACATTTGTGCTGTGTGACTGACTTATAAAAATGTGCATAATCAGATGTCCGAGGAAATTTTATGCTCGCACCGCACTGTGAGACAAAAAACTCTCTGTCAACACGAATGTGCTGCTCATATTACGATTGCACAAATATGCACAAAAGTGCTTTTGCACAAACATGCACAAATGTGCGATTTTGCGCTTGCACCCAAGGGTAGAAAAAAATTACGGGAACTCCACAATTGTGTTTGAAATAGAAAATATTATTTTGTTGCAAATTTTGAAAAAATTGATATTTACGTTCTTTGGGATCATAACTTATGTTAAAAATTGAATAAATTAACAAATATTTAAAATAATTATTTTTGTTAAATATTTATAAAGTTGACTAAAAATTATAACTGTCTTAACCTTATTTGTATTTTAAATTAAAATATTATTTTTTTTGTATTTTACTTCCCAAATTTTGTGTATTTTTAAATGCAAATTTAGTAAGTGAACCTAAAGTATTTGTTTGGTAAGTTTTGCACCAGTTTAAAAGAAATAAAAACATATATTAGGAAAATTTTTTTATTCCCAAAAAATATGTATTGACTTAGGTAGAGTATCTAACATTCATTAAAAAACGCGAAAGATTAAGAAAATATTTTCTTGAGCAGGTAGCAGGTATTAGTATTGGTGTATTTGTTTAAAGAAATTTGCAACAGTTTAAAAAAGATAATACGGGAGGGCCACAAATAGATATTTTTCTTCTCCAGAAATATGTATTCACATAGGTAGAGTATCTAACATTCATTAAAAAACGCGAAAGATTAGGAAAATGTTTTCTTGAACAGGTAGCAGGATTTTAGCGCCCTTACTACTGTGCTAAGTAAGCAGAGATATAATTTAAGTGAAAAAATACTTCAGCAATGTTATTAATAAGATTAAATTAAATTAAATTTATTTAAAAAAATATGTAATAAAAATAAATATTTTTTAATAAGAAATTAAGATATTAAATTATTAAATTATTTCAATAACTTCGTTAAATTTAAGCTAAATTTAAGCTAATTTAAGTAATCAAAGATAAAAAATTAAGTGAAATCTAATAACAAAATTAATTTAAGTTGTTGTAAAAAATATTTAATTTGCTTTTTTAACCTTACTAACGAATCCTAGTGTATAACTTACTATTAATAAATTTTTATGAAGTAGTCAAAAATTGATATATTTAATTTTTTCAAAGTACGATCCGTAGAACTGATCCTGTTTACTTATAACATTTCGAAACAAATACTCTTTCTCTATTAAATTCATGTACCTATTTAACTCATATATCATAAACTATTTATATTTTATATTATAACAAAGTTTTCAAGTACATTGTGAAATTAACTTTATTCCCATGTTTTAAATTAATAAACCTTAAAATAATAAGTAATATAAGCATTAAATGTAAATCTAATAATAAATTCAAAATTAAAATATAAATACAAAATCATTTCTTCAATAAAATATTTTACGTACTATTTTGCTGCGATATTTGTCATAATATTGTGCGCTTTTAAATCATCATTTCACACAAATGTGCAGTAGACATTTCGTCTCCGCACATTTGGGTGCATTTTTATTTTCGAGTCTCCACACAAAATGTGCTCCTCGTATTCTTTTCTGCACACGTTGTGTGCGAAGGTAAGCTGGCTGCCTCACACACAATGTGCTGTGCGAAATAACTTTTACATAACAACGTTTGCGTGTGCGAGTTTTATTTAACTCCACCACATTCGTGTGAAATGTGCGTTTTGTTTGTGTACACAAGATCCCAGTAGTCCGTTTGGTAAGCACATGAAAAAGGTATGCATGACATCATGTTTACAAAGGAATGTGAGAAGTCATCATACTAAAAGAATGTACTGGTAATGTATCATGTCATGCGGCTAGCGAAAAAAAAAACCCTTACTCTTCGTGAAATTAACCGAACGACAGATATTTTTTTGTCATATTTGTTGTTGTTGTATTCCTTAAGGAAATTTCTATACAATTATTCGAGCATGCTCAGTATTCGTGTACATTTAAGTGCGGAGCGTTTAATTTTTCGGTGCGGATCGATTTTGTGAATTTTTGGTGTATTGCTAAATTTATTAAATTTAATAAATTAATAAACGAATATTATAAACGAATAAACAAAAGAAATTTATAATATATTGTGAATTTGTGTTTAACAATATTAATTATTGTTTTTCCTTCGGAATTCCAGTGTAAGTTGAAATTTAAATTGAAAACATTTTTTTGATTGCGCTTTATATACCTGGCGTGTTTTTTAAAAACTATATTTATTATTTCTGTTTCAGTCTACAGTTCTGTTGCTGTTTCCAGTTTATTTACTGGAATATTTATTTATTATTTTAATAATAATTGTTATTATTTAATTATTTGTTTATATTTTAATTTAAGTTGTTAGTTATTATTTCTCAATTTCTCAAAATCAGGACGCGATACTCAAGGAGTTGAAATTAGTAAAAGGTAACATTACTAATTTTACTAAATAAAATAAAATTATTTATGAGAATCCCTTTTTTTTACAGAAAGTAACATTGACGTTATAGCAAAATTCCACACACTCATGAACATGATGGAAAAGAGAAGCGATACAGCAGTTTCTGATAACTGCTTTCCCATCAAGACGTTTGAAGAATTGGGGAATATGGACGCACTTTGTGCAACTAAAAGTGCTCAATATGTAAGTTATATTTCATACAATCAAAAACTAAATATACAAAACTTTTGATTATATTTTAATTGAATTACTTCGTTCGATTTATAAATTTTTTTCTTTTTGAAACCATTTAGGCTAAATTAATAAAATCCATTATTCAACCGGAGGGAATAAAAAAAAACTTACATCGAATCAAATTAAAATCTATAATTATAATATCAATAAATATTGTTTTTGTTAATTTTATTTATTTATATTAAAAAAAAATTAAAAAAAATTAAAACAAAAAAAATTATAATTTATAATATTGTAATTTTTATTTATTTATATTAAAGAAAAAATTAAAACAAAAAAAATTAATAATATTTATATTTAAAAAAAAATTTAAACCAAAAAAATTTATAATCTATTGTTTTTGTAATGTTTATTTATTTTTCTAATAAATTAAAACAAAAAAATATATTGTTTTATTTTTTTTATAAAAATTTATTTTAGAATAAATATATGTAAAATGCAAGAGCATGCATTTAACATCCTTACAACCTACTGACTTCGTAAGCTACAAAAGAAGGTGACCACCTTCTTTGGAAGCAGGTCGTATAGCAGAAAATGATCACCTCATATTTTGCGTGCACAAGCATCGCCCATGACGATTTAGTTTACTTTGTCATGCTTACAACATGCTTCCATCGTAAAGTGCATTTGGATTCGTAAACGAAGTTTTACGAATGTCAATTCCGTATTTCGTGCCGCATACCTTTTGCACTTTACCAAGTCATGCATGATTTTGGCGGCCAACTGCTAATAAAAGTCATGGGAATTCGGAAAGGAACTCGTCATGATGACCGGCGAAAAGTAAGCATGATGTAAGGTAAGATAGCAGCATGACGGTCCCTACTGGGATGTGGCACTTAAGATGTGCACAAAAATTTTCGCACACCACATTTGTGGTGTGAAATTTTATTTAGAATCGCACAACATTTGTGCGTGGTGTTTTGCATTTTTGTGCACAGCACAGTGTTTTTCTGAACCCTGTTTTTTATTCGTGTAGATAACATGAACCGTTTTGCTTGTATTTATTTGAACTCCTCATTTGTCGAACCATTCAAGCGTTTAAGTAATTCTGCAAGTTTTCTGTTTGTTAAAAGTTTGTTAAAATTTATATTAGCTGCAATTAGTGCTGAAACGTCTGCAAAAGTTGCTATCAAACTTTGAGGATCAGAAGGTATCGGGACATCAGCCGTGTATAGCAAGTAGAGTAATGGACCCAATAGGCTTCCTTGGGGCACACCAACTTTCATTCATAAAAGTATCTATTTTGTAACTAACGCTGTCGAAAGCCTTTGCGACATCAAGGTATATCGCCGAGGAAAATTGTTTTGTGTCAATATCACTTGTTATTTTATTAACAACTCTGTGAACTTGTTGTATAGTCGAATACTTTTTCCGAAAGCTGAATTGATGATCAGGTATAAGTTTTTCTTTGAGGACAATCGGTTCTAGTCTTGATAAAATTATTTTTTCAAACAATTTTGACATAACTGGTAATAGACTAATTGGTCTGTATGATTTTGCTATAGTTATGTCTTTATTTGGGTTGGGTATAGTTATTACGTCTGCTACTTTCCATACTTTTGGAAAATATTTAAGGTGAAGAGCGCAATTAAACACATTTCTCATATATACAAGTTTTTGTTGAGGCAGCTCAGTCAGAATCTTTCCTGTAATATTATCATATCCCGGTGATTTTTTTGCTTTAATTTTATTTTTAATAATATTTTTAATCTCTGTTATTGAGACTTTCTTTATTATAACATTTCGAGTAGAGCTGCTCTGTGCTACGTTGCCATTTTGCTGTTTTGGATTACTGAACGTAGCTTTGAAGTAGGTGGCAATTTAAGTGAATCAAATTTATTTAGATAAATAAAATTATTTAACTAAAGAAAATAAAATTTTAGTAATAATTTAGTAAAATTATTTAAATAAACAAAATTTAACTTTTAGTTTAAATAATTCTTAGTAACTTGCGTGAAGTAGTAATGCTAGGGTATGTGGCGGATATGGCAGCCACAGAACACGAATAGGACGATGGCAAGGCTTTAACATCACGTGTAACAGTGGTATAAAAGCATACAAGTAAGCATCGTTCTCTTTGGCATTCGGGCCGTCAATCGACAACCACGCAAAAGGTGAAGGTATTAGGGCACTCCACGCAAATACCCTTATCCAAATAGCTGACATCGCAAAGAAGCCTCTAGTCTCTGACAAATACACAACATTAAAAAAAGAATTCATCCGACGCTTTGGTGAATCAAAGCAAAAACAACTTATCAAACTGCTTACAATCTTAGAACTGTCAGACAAGCGACCGTCGCAATTGCTTTGTGACATGCGCAATCTAGCTAGTACCAACATCTCTGAAGGTGCACTTACAACTCTTTGGTCACAACGCTTGCTTAGCAACATTAGATGCATTATGTCCGAATCAGCTGACCGCATCATGGACAACCTACCAACTCCATAATTCGTAATGGCTACAACTTCAACAACTGGCACTCATTTAAATCAATCGTCATCGCCGTTAGAATCGCGAGTACTGTCATTAGAAACAGCAGTACAGTAGATTACATGCAGTTTGGGTGAGTAAACGATGCAATTAAAATCTAGCAATCGTATTAGAAGTTCGGACCGTCGTCACGAGAGGAGAAATCGCAGACAGTGAATTCAGTAAACCAGCTGGAAATCACAGCGCAACCCTTACAGCGGAAAACTAAAAATATTATTGCGGCATGCGATAACTCACCTCCCAACTGCATAATCGAGATCCATCTCAACGTCTTTGACCGACTAAACAAATTGAACTCCCTAATCGACACAGGTTCGGTTGTTTCAGTTGTGCCAGTAAGTCTCGTCAATAAAAGGCCAGATCCAATTACAAGTGAAGACGACAATTTATTCGCGGTGAACAATACAGCAATAAACACATTTGGAATCAAAAGTTTGAAACTTGACCTAGGTCTTCGCAGTGATTTTTGTTGAAGCTTCATCATAGTCGACGTAAAATCATCCATCACAGATTATACATAAAGAAAAAATAGTTAATTGATTCGCTGACAACGATAAATATGACCATCTTGTCGTCAGTCCAGTCCCGTTCATCTAGTGAAAAAGAAAACGGGCGGTTGGAGAACGGGTGGAGACTTTCGCAGGCTAAATTCACATATTAAACTAGGCAAATACCCAATACCGTTCTTGGGTCAAATTTCTGAAAGAGCTACGCTCAACACAGCGTGCCACAATAAACCAAAGGCTTTAGAAGATATCTGTGAAGACAAGTTACAAGAAGCACATCTGGGCGTTAATATTTCCAAATGCAAGTTCGTTATCGATGAATTGTAGATCTTAGGTTATTATTTGTCAGCGAGCTGAGCAAGTGGAAGCCATTCAAAATTATGTCCGACCTAAGAGAGTACATGAAATTATCAATTCTTTGGAGCTGTCAATTATTATCGAAAGTACATTCCTCGAGTATGTAAGGCAAGCATATCAACGTTAACGCAACTAGTTTTTTTGTCACCAACAGCACCTCTTCTTCTGCATTGGATCAGTTTTGGAGTAGTGAGTCAATTACCAGTGGGAACCATTGGCGTTCTTCTCCACCAAGCTTAAATTGGCAGAAGGAATTACAATACTTATGACAGAGAACTCCTAGAAGTTTACGCATCCGTTTGATATTTTCGTCATCTGCTTGAAGGGCGTTATTTGGTCATTCGCAGTGATCATAAGCCATTGACGTTCGCTTTTCAGCAGAAAGCCAACAAGGTATCTCCTCGCCATTTATGCCATCTAAACTATATATCAGGATCGTACATGTGTCAGATGAAGATAATATAGTAGCAGACACACTCTCACGCATTAATTCAATAGCTGTGCCAGAAGCATGCAGTCTAGAGTGAATAAGCGAGCACCAAGAAAATCATGAAGAACTAAAACAAACGAACACAAAATTATAATTGAAGAAATCACATTTACAATCAAACTTGAAAACATACTGTGATGTTACGGTAGGCCAGTTAAGACCATTTATACTCAAATCATTTCGCAAATAGGAACTCAATTAAGTGCATTCTTCGGCACATCCAGGTTCCAGATCCACAGGTCGACAACTCGGATCAAAATAAGTTTGGCCATCAATGCATAAGGGCATAAACACTTGGTTGTCTAGGTTGTCAGCAATCCAAAGTCAATAGGTACAATAGAATAAAGCCCAAAGAATTTGTAAAAACCGATCAGGCATTCGATCATGTTTACGTGGATTTATTTACATTACCAGAGTGTCAGCATTATAGATAAGTGTTAACTATGATGAACAGGTTTAAGCGATGGCTAGACAGGTTAAAAAACATGACCTCAGACACATTAGCTATCAATTTCTACGCAGCCTGGGTATCACGAATTGGTGCACCGAAGGTTATAACAACAGACCGTGGAACACAATTCGAAACAGAATTGTTCAGAGCTGTGACTGACCTGTTAGGAACCACGCGAATCTGCCCTACGCCTTATCATGCAATACTGAATGGCATAGCAGATACGCTAAAAACAGCGGTAATGGCAAGGCCGAAAAATGCATAGCTTCAATTACTCCCATCAGTTCTTTTAAGGCTACGAAGACATAGGAGCAATTTTTCGAACATAATTCCCAACCAACTCCTACAACGCCTCCTAATTCATGAAACTTCTTAAACAAATTTCGTGAATATTTGCTTGAGGTAGGACCAACGGTAGCAACACATCATAGCAACACGCCAATTTTCATACACAAACCACTCGACAATTACTCACACGTTTTCATACGTTCAGGCTACATCAAAAAGGCGCTACAATTACTATATACAGGAACGTATAAAGTTTTGAACAAAATAAGTGAACGAATATTCACAATTGAAGTATGTGACAAAAAATTGAAAGTATTATTCGAAATTTTAAAACCCGCATTCCTGGAGAATACAGATATTCTAGCAGTACCGAAGTAAATTTTATTAATCGATCCTAAACCAAAGCATAACACACTACCAGTTAAAAGGACGAAGAAAAACGTCACTTTCGTTAGAGAAGACCCGTTTTAATTAAGCAACAGTTTATTATAGTCAGACGGCAGAAACGAAAAGAAGATCACACTCACAAATAGCCTTCATCACAGTCCTCCGGCAATCTTCTACGACGGGAGTACTGTGGCGGATATGGCACCCACAGAACACGAAAAGTACGATGGCAATGCTTTAATATCACGTCCGATAAGAGTATAAAAGCACACAAGTAAGCATCCTTCTCTATGGCATTCGAGCCATTAACCCATAATCACGCAAAAAGTGAAGCTATAATGGTATTAGCCCCACAGGTACTTTTTATTTTTTCAATTTTATTAAATAATAATTATATTTAAGAAGTTCATTTATGGGAACATACAATTATTGAAGTATGCTGTAGACGAGCGTGATAGGAAATGATTCCAGATAAGTATTTATATTTATTTTTTTTGACGGTGTTAAAGCATTTTACTTCGTTACAACACATACCTGAAATCAATTAAAGTTAATAAAACTTCTGAATATTATCCTTTATAGTTATAATAATCAATTTTTAAAATTTCGCAGCATGTAATTTTTAACATTCGATTTGTGAACAAAAACATTATCTTTGCATTAAGGCCGTGTGCAAGTTCGAGTAAATTGAGGTAAAGTAAATTGAAATTTCCTTGGAATTTTTTACGCTGCACTTATGTAAATATTTATTTATTTATTTATTGCACTTATTATTTCTGGTCAAAAGTTTTTAAATATATTTATTTATTTATTAAACATCTTATCAAATTTTCACAAAGGTAACATCTAATTTACCCAGTTTTCATCTAATTTACCCTACTCGAAATTTTGGTAAATTCCAACATTTGCGCCATGCTGACATAATTTACTATTTCTCCAATTTACTAATAATTTACTCGAACTCGCATACGGCCTAAGTACAAATATCCGTTAATGATCACTTTCCTTTCCTGATGGTGTTCTTTGGTTTAAACTATCAACACAGTACGTATAAAAATAATTTGGCGGTGTTCTTAAATTCGACAGGTGGTGGTTTTTTATATAAACGGTTTGATCTTTTAATTGTTCGGTACGTTAAATTCGGAAAATAAGGACAAATTTGAAGAAAAAAATGTCTTTTAAACGCAAGAGAGGAAATGTAGATGACGGACACTTTGTTGGAAATGAATATTCTTCAACCAGTACCTATGCTTTAATACCAAAAATATTGGAATGTGAGCGTCCAAAGGAACAAACCAAACAAAATTGTAATCCATTTATGGCAGATATTTTGGAAGTCAAATCTATACCAAATGTAACAGAAAATAATAGTATTAAGGAAGATAAAGTATCTGACCAAAAGAGAAACCCGTTTGAGGTAATTCGTGATCCACCAAAGAAGAAAAAGCGTGTCTCAAAAATAAGTGGGGCGTGTTTTGAAAATCGTGCTTTGAATTTGAATGTGCCAGAAAAACAATTTAATCCTTTTGAGGTAAACTATAGAACATTATGTATTTATTTTTTTATCATAAATTTTTACAAAAGGTTCGCCGGGAAAATTTTCAAGCTTCGTCAGATTTAAGGCAGTCACACTATTATGTGAATGAAGCGTTAAATATACGTTCTCAAGATAATAATTCCATTTATAATCCTTTTGAAGTTGAACGTTGTTTCCAGAAACAGAATGAATCGAATGGAATCGAAAATCTGGGTTTAGTTGACCAAAACTCAGATTTTCTTACAATAAAGCTGCCTTTCCAACCTACAGTTGGTTGTAGAATTGATTTTAAAAATATTTCAATATCTGAGCTAACGCCAAGTAAATTGCTAGCAGAAAAACTAGTGTTTTCGCCACTTAATTCAGTTCATAAACAGTCGATAGGTTTAGTAAATGAAGAAGCTGCTCTAGACATTGGAAAAGAGTTAGATCGCTACCAACTTGAATTAGAGAACAGTATAAATGAAGCAAAATTACGTAAAAATACAAAAATAGTGGAATCAATTCAACATTCGTTAATCTTACCAGATAGACAAAATATTTTTAGCCAAGTATTAGAAAATGTTACTGAGGTGGATAACCTAGATGGAACGATAACTAATTTACAAAATAAAAATGTATCGGATCAAAATATCGTAACTGTTGTAAAAAATACAGAAACTAGTGTTAAATTAGTAATGGAATCACCACAGAACCAGGAAGTTGCAGATGTCTCATACGAATCAGAATCAGATGAAACAAATTTTAAGTTGCCTATTTTTGTACGTGCATATCGTAGAATACCATCTCAAAAATCTGTTATTATTGATAATCCTTCAGATGATAATGGCAGTGTTAAAACTGAAGATAATATGCAAACAAGTGTAAAGAGTTTTCTACGTAATTCTGTACGTAAACTTATTCATAGTAAAAATAAAGTCGATGATCAAGAAATAAAGAATTCATTGGAGAAGTCTGAAAACAATAGAAATATCGTTACATGCATTCGTCAGAGTTTGCGGCGCAAACGTCCTTTATTTGAGAAACAGTTAAATGATTTGAACATGTCTATTATTGACACTGGAGATCGAACGATGAAACTTAAATCTGTGATTCCTGAAACGGAATACATTGCTATCGAACAGTTGACTAATGAAAAAAAAAGTTCGTTGCGAAACAGTTTAAGACATCCTACTCGAGAGCTTCGGCATAAGTTGAAAAAATCGCTATTCCAAAAATCACAGGAACAATATGTACTACCAAAGTAAAATCATTCTGCTTCTTAAAAAAAAAAAAGAAGAAATATAAAAACATGAGATAAGCATTTTCCAACTTATTTTAATCATTCCAAAGATTTTATCTATTGTTTTTTGTACTTATACTTGCAACCAAATACTTAAATTGGTTACATAAAATTGTTTTTATTATTCTTATACGAGCTGCACCTGCACCCAGTTAGATTAGAACTGTATTTCTATTTTTATGCTTTAAATAATTGTTTGCTTATTGAAGGTTTTGGAAATTTATTTACTTGCATTTGAAATTAATTAATAAAGCTTTTACTTCATTTTGTTTAAATAATTGTGGAGTTTCAACTAAAGTGGCAAATTGTTAGAGCACATCATGACAACGTTATGATCAAAGAAGATAAAGAAAAGAAATTGAGAGGAAATTTTGAATAATTGTGCCTCTTTGTGTAATGTCGCAAAAAAAACTTATTTATTTACCATACTGGAATTGTCCAATATTAAAATCGGTGTGGTTTATAACCTAAATGTATCTTACATTTAGTATAAATTATTGTTATTAGAAAATCCATTGTATATATTAATTTTATTTTAATGAGTAAATATAGGCATGATTTTTTATATCAGTTTTACATAGAGCTCTAAGGATCGGCTTAGCGAAAAAATATATCAAGAACAGAGCCCTAAAATTATTCATAAAAATCGATATGTTAACCAACCCCGCCCTAACAAACCTTAAGTCCACCTCAGGACGCACAGGAAGATATGCTGACCTACGGTCCGTCATCAGTTAAAAGATAAAATAACGATAATAATTCTAGTATAGTTAAAGCACAGACAAATAATACACAGATTGTGAATGCAGAAAAAAAAGTGGACCCCTTTGATTTCATGGTAGCCAGCTTGAGTAGCCAGCCAAAAGCACAATCAGCTTTGAATTGTAGAACAAACAAAAGCTGTGTATAACACAATGATCTTAAGTGTTCGAAACATACGAAAGAGCCGTTGAATGTGCATATGAGAATGTGTGTGATATAATATAGAAATTGTTGCTATATTTTCTACTCATATTGCTAGTTTGGGTGCTTGTGTGATTTATATGTTAACAATTTTCTGTTTTGCGAACTTATGCTTCGATAGTTTTGCTGCATCAAGACGAAAGAGCAATCAGTGAAGTGTAATTTTTGGTTTCTATATTTACAAAATTTTGTTTCTTTTGGGTTAAGAGGAAATAGAGAGGAAAGGGCGTTCAATAGTATTATTAAAAAACAATATTATTATTTTAAAAATGTTTAATATGATTGAAAAAATAACAAGGAACTATTTAATTAAATAAAAATTATAAATAAATTTAATCTATTAAATTAATGCAGCGCAATGCATTTTTGCAGAAAAGTGTCTATAATAGGCATAAAATATCCCATTTGAAGTGTCAGTAATGCCAAACAGGATCTTCCACTCGTTTCTATATTAATAATCATAAAACCGCCATTAGTTAAAATTCTTAAGAAAGCATGTAGCACAGTTTGGAGAAGTATTAAGGAACTTTTAATACAAACATATTAGGTACGAAAAATACAGATCACATTCATTGAACTGCATGTCCAAGCTCTTTTGTCAGTATGATTTAAAGAAAAAAAAAAAAAACAAAAAACAAAATCACATATTGTACAATATATTTTTAAAACACGTATATAATTATTTACAGTTGTGAAATTTGTTAAAATGTGATTTACATAATTATAAATAATAATTATAAATATATAATGACAAAACACACTTCCGTTTCATCTGTAAATAAATTTGTATAAGTTATAGTTCGTATATTTTTGTAAAACAATTGCCTCTCTTAATGCTTTTGTAATTAAAATTAAATTTCGCCTGTTTTTTGAGTAGTATGATATTTGTGCACCTAATTGCAACTTTGGCATTTCACATTTTCTCAAAATGGATTTTTAATGTCAAAAAACCAAAGCAGACAACGAAATTTCTCAGAAAGTGCTCTTATTTCAGCAAATATCGTGGTGAGTAGGGACCGAGTGGTCAAAATAGTAAGACCGGCTGGGGAAATTCATCACGCACCATTGTGTAGCATTAAGGCTTTTGTTTTTGTACTAGGTGATACTTTAACCTCATTATACAAAATTTTGTATATTATTAAATGATTTAGAATTTATTAATAAAACTTCGATTATGCATGCTATCGAGTCCGAATTTTTATAATTTGAATAAAAATAATCAAATCTTTGATTTAACAAGTATTATTTTCTTGCTACCCTTTAGTGCTAATTGTTCGTATTTTTTGGATGAGTACATTTTGGCATTTCAGTGTATATAGCATATCTCTTCTCAGACTTTGCATCTATAAATAAACACCAAAATAGCCATTGTTTAATATATAAAATACTATATATAATAGCCAGTTAAAGCTACCATTGACTTACTACAATAAGTAGAAATATAACTTTTTATTGGCGGTTTTGATGTTTGTAATAAACGCAACGTATAATTTAATTTTTTTTATATATGGTATAGTTATATAAATTTAATAGATTAAATCTGGGCAGCTTTGCTTGCGTTGTAAACCTAAATGGAAGAGAGGAGTATGATGTATGTT